GCTGTCGCTCAGGCTCGTCATTTTTCACGGCGCCGCGATGAGCCGTGTGATTATGATTCCGCGTGAAATGCGCACTGTGGTTTTCGGAACCGGCGCGAAAAACTTGATTGTCGCGTTATTTTTTTTTTTCGTTGCTGTTCGGCGTGTAAGGTTGGATGGAGGGGGGCTGTCTGGAAGTCCCGTCACATTTTTCTTTCGCCCCCCACTTTTTTTTAATGCAATTTTTCGAGAATTGAAATCTTGTTATGACGAAGTCATTGGGATCAGTGAAAATAGCTTGGCTTAAAAATATAATTCGTTTTTAAACGAACTCAAATGATATATCCGCTATTTTGAATGGGGGTCTGATGACGAATTCCTTTTGACCGACTATTAGGTATAAAGAGATTCTGCCTAGTTGCTTAATCTAGTTTGCTTGGAATTTGAATATTTTTGGGATGTAAGCATAAGAAACGGCTGTGATTGAAATTTTTTTTATTTTATTGATGGTTTAGCTCACTTTCGGAAAATAATACGAAATGTTGAGACTATTCTGTTTTGCGTGTGTTTTTGCGTTTTCCCAATGATGAAGCTTCATTTTCTCGGCGTCTGACTAAATTTATTGATTTTTAAATATTTATTTTCAGTTGTCAACTTGGTGAATTAAGTTGCTGGGAAACTGAAAAAAAAATCTTCAGAATTGAGCCGAAATAACACTCAGAATAACGTAAATGTGCTGCTTAATTTTTTGTTGGAAGTTGTGTGAAACTAGGACAAATCGTGTCGGAATTAGTGACATTAGTAATCTGGGTATTTTTTTCTTCCTAAAATTTCTGACCTGGCCTTAATACTGTAATGTACTGTATCTTCAAACGGTTTAAAGAAACCAAATTGAAAAAGGCAATTATAACAACTTTATGTTTCGTTCTAAGCTTTCTAGTTTCGACGAAACCTCAGTAACTTTACATAGTTGATTCTAAACTAGAAGTTCCAGACTTGTTGACAAACACATGAATTTGGTTCCGTGGTCTATTTTTTGCCTATCACAAAATCTAAGTTCGCGGAAATTGGTTCAAATGCGTAGTTTTCCTTAATTCGCGATTTTCAATGTCTTTTTTTTTAATGAATGTATGGTATTCTAGGATACAGATGGATTCTCCTTGAAAAAATCTACGAAGATTTCCCGGTATAACATATCCTGGCCCCTTCGGACTTGTGTTTCAACAAACACGAGTAACTCGTCAAATGCGATATTCTTTATCCACCGAAAGGATTTTTGCCCTTCACAGAATATTAGCAAGAAGTGACTGTTTGATTTTTCGCGAAAAATAAATCGAATTAAAAAAAAAGAATCCTGCAACTTATTGCCGAAACCTCCAAGACTGGAAACGGCAGGTTGGAAGGCAATGAGAGCTGAGGTCTCTCCCTCTGGACATCATCATTATCATCGGCTCGTTGTTGGTGGAGGGGCGCCCGCCGTGATTTATTACTGTGGGTGATGTTTTTGCGGCAAGAAATTATATAAGTTTCGAAAAGAAAAAAAAACTATATAAATTCCGAAGAGGAAGACAAAAAAAAAAGAGGAACCTGATTCAAGAATGGACGAAAAGTGGGGATAGGATGAGATGGGTGGGTGGAACGAAACGAAACGGAAAGGAATTGGGGGGGGGGGGGGGACCAGAGTCGTTGAAAACCTTGTTTTCGCCCATTGGATTTTCGGGATAACTTAATGTATCGTCAGCACGTCTCTCACACAAACCCCCAACCCCCTACTTTTTTCCTCCTCACTGGATATTTCGGAGGAATTTCGCCGCGAGGCAAGCAAAACTATCTCGTCATTCGTCGGTGATTTTTTTCTCTCTCTCTCCTCGTAACATCTCGTCGCGTCGAGGAATTTCCTTCCGGGTTGTCTGTTTTTTTAATTCTTCTGGCAAGGAACAGGTGCCCTTTGTATTGCATGGGTTGGTTTTTTTTCGTGTGTGTGTAGGAAACCTCTGTGTTCTTGTGCCCGAGGTGGAGGCGACAGGTGCGAAGCGACGAGGGGCTTTTGTCGCTTGTTGTTTGCACCTGTGACAATAAGCTGGATGAAAAGCGGAGAAAATCCGGCTGTTGAGAGAGAGACTCGGTATCACGTGTGATTTCTCGACGAGAATTTTTTTTTTTGCTGTTAAAGGTTTCATTTCTTTGAATTTCGAGGCTGAGAGGTTCAAGGTTTGGGAAACATTTTTGTGAGGTTTTTTTAAACTTCGGAGGAAGAAAAATTGCTGAAGGATATTTTCTTTCGAGATTTTTTTGTTGATTTAATGGATTTACTGGAATTGGGGTGCAACTCGGTATCTGAAAAATTGAATGCAATAGAAAAAATACGGGTAATTATCTTTTCTATTCATTTTTTAAAGAGATTTTATTCTGAGTGGCATTTTTCAGATTTATTGGCGAGGAGTTTCACGGTTTTAAAAACATTTCGCAGCGATGATTCTCAAACAAGCAGCCAGATAACAATCCGATTTTGTCTGCGTTTTAGAATTGCAGAAATTTCCAAGTTTTCTGATGACGATTTTTTTTATCAAGTAATTACGAAGACAAAAAGGGATTTCCGAGATCGTTTTCGCGAGATTTCGTTAGCGGAACGATTATTTCCTCTTTTATCGATTGATCTTTGTGAGAATCAGTAAACCAGAGGTTAATCAATTTTGCTAGATAGCAATTAAAAAATTCCCCTGTTTATTAAGAAGGCGTTGAATAGAGCTGCATTCCATCGTCGCAAGAATAATCATTTTTTTCTTTGCGTAAACTTCAAGCTTCGGTCGATGACAGTTAATAGCTAGTTGGGATTTTTTCCGATACCTCAAATAAAAACTCCATGTGGTCGAAAATCTTATTTACAGCTGTGAATAATTTCTACTGCCACTCCAAATATAGCAAAACCTTTTTTTTTTTTAATCAAACGCGGTGCGAAGAGTCAAGTAGCCCATTTTATTGCATTTAAGATCCGACGGTATGAATTTGATGGCGAAAAAATTTGCCTGCGAATACAGTACTGGATAAGAATAATTATGATTGAATCATACTGTATTTTATCACAGCCTTCAGAGTTCGACGGTTCTTTGCAAGAATCTCTCAACAGCTTAATTCCCCGGAAGATTTCGAGCAGAAGCCAATTATTAGTTTTTGGATCTGCATATTGAAGTCGGGAATTTTTAAATTGAGCTTCGACATTGCATTTTTATTCAAGCGATTTTGTTGGTTGAAAGCTATCCTGCCTCACCTTTAAATTGCTAATAGAAGATTCCATCGACTATCGTACCGGAAGTTTTTTTTTTTTAGTTGCGCATTGTATATTTGAGTGAATTCGATGCGTCAATTTTCACGATGAGGGTAATTTTCGAAGCCTGATCCTGTAATTTTGTCGTCGGAATTGCTTCATGAATGGATGGAGTTAGAATAAATTGAACATTTTCCTCTTCTGTTTTCTTTGCAGATACGCAGCAGCGGCGGCAGCAGCAGCAGCCGCCGCGGCGGCTGCCGCCACGAACTCCTCTTCTCCGTTCGGCGGCTCAACCGCCGCCTCGGCCACCGGATCCCCACTGAGCCTCTCCGCCGAACTCGCTTTCCTACAACAGTACCAGCAACAAGCAGCAGCAGTGGCAGCCGCCACTGCCGCCGTAGCCGCCGCAGCAGCCGCCTCTTCCTCCTCGTCCTCATCCTCGTCTTCGTCGTCCCACAACTCGTCTTCCTCCGCTGCTTCCAACAACCAACACCCGCGTCGACACGACACCAACGACGACGCTACGCACGTCACTGTGGCTGCTGTCGGTGACGACGAAAGCAACAACAACAACGGGAAGCATCAGGAGTCGCCGGCGGCGGCGGAAACGGCGCCGTCTGTGAGGAAGAAGAAGAGGGATCGGAGGGTGTCGCGAGATGACGGCACTGCTGCGACGACGGCGGCGGCTGGGGTGGCGGCGTCGACGACTACGACGACGTCGACTTCGACGGCGTCGATTGGAGAGAGAGGAGGGAGGGAAGAATTGGTGATGGGAGGGAATGCGGCTGTGACGTCGACGACGTTGACGCCGGGCTCTGCGTTTGACCAGTTGGTGTTGTCGTCGATGCAAGGACCACCGGGTTCCAGAGGTCTGTTAATTTTATTCCTCGCCGATTCTTCTGTGTTTTTTTTTTTTTTTTGTGGAGAACATTAAAACGATATCTAAAGACCGAGTTAATTAAACACCCATGGTTTATTTTTTTATTGGAAGGAATTTTAGAAGAACAAGTGTCGAGAAAAAATTAAAATATCAATCCTGCAAACCTCAAAATGTGCTGTAATTATTTTTGCTGTCTATTCTTGAATATCAATAAAACCAACCTCACAATTTAATGAATTTTCGGGGCAACAAATTGTTTTATTTTGTAGCAAAAATCGTGAAAACGAAATTAAAAGACCGAAAAATAATTACTGTAAATGAACCGCCGAGGGTTTACTTTTCATTTGAAGGGATTTTTGAAGAATAACTTTTTCTAAAAGTGAGAATATCAATACAGTATTTAAAAAACCTTCGTGGGGCTAGTCGTGAAAGACTGAGAATATCAATACTGCATGCCTCAAAATTTAATGATTTTTCGGTAGCAATAAATTTTGTCGGGTTTGTTGAAAAAAAGGAGATGTCTCATGTTTATGGGCCTCCACTTATCAAATTTACCTGCTTGCACTCGTTCTTTGGAAGAATTGAAAGCCTCATTCTATAAGCATTCGGAAAAAAATGAGCCAACATTTTCGATTGTGCAAGAAAAGTTTCGAAGGAATGATTATCAAAAGTGTTGGTCTGATGACATTTTAAGATGGTTTGTCCTGAAAGTGTTTTAAGCAATACTGAAAACGAAGTTGAAGTTCAAAAATAATAAATCCCGAAACTTATTTAATGATCGAAGTAATGCCATATCAACTTCAAGAACTTCGCTGTTTTTATTCAACGCACATATCAAGGTCAAAATAGTAGTTATAAATTCAAGTACAGTATAAGCACAAAAAAAATCATGATCGTCGTGGTTTTTTTTTGCTTGCCTCTCCCAAAAATGTATGCGAATAGGAGGGGTGAGAAAATAAATGTGATTAAGAAAACTAAATCAGATTAATCAGTTCCTCAAATAAACTATTCAATGTAAAATCTTCTAGTGTTGCGGAGGAAGATCGAAATTTCATTCAACAAAATCTGACAGATAAATTGAATGCTTGCTTTTGTAAAATACAGTATTTTAAAAAATTTGACAGAAAACTGTACAGGAATTCAAATAATTTGTGTGTGCTTACATGTACTCATTTGGTTTTGTTCTTTTTCTCCCCCTTACGGATTTCGGATACTTCCCTCCAGGCTTGATGTCTGAGTACCTGAGCAGCAGTTTTGCGGCTGCTGCAGCGGCGGCGGCAGCGAGTGGCGTCCCGTCGCCGCTGCTGCTGCGGGCCTCGGCCTCGTCTTCCCTGGGCCACTCTGCGGGATCTGCATCGGGTTCGGGTTCCTCGAGTTCAACCAGCTCTGGACTCGGCGGGCTCATGGGTTGCTTCGGACCGCCGGTGCATTCCATGGTGGCGCCTGCACCACCCGTGGCGCCGCCACCGCACGTGCCCACGTCCATGTCCATGGAGTTTGCAGCCGGCATGCATCAGGCGGCTGCTGCAGCGGCGGCTGTGGCGGCTGCTGCTGCTGCTGCCGCCACCCCGCCCGTGTCTGCCGCCGCGTCCACTGATCTCTCCTTTTCGCTCGACGGTTGGTTTTCATTTTCTGGTTTTTTAAATTTAAACGTGCGAGAGGGATTTGAAACTGTCCATTGGAATTTATGTCGTTGTACAGTACGTTCTTTTTTTGGGGTTATTTTNGTGTCTGCCGCCGCGTCCACTGATCTCTCCTTTTCGCTCGACGGTTGGTTTTCATTTTCTGGTTTTTTAAATTTAAACGTGCGAGAGGGATTTGAAACTGTCCATTGGAATTTATGTCGTTGTACAGTACGTTCTTTTTTTGGGGTTATTTTTAAAAATTATTAATTCGAATTTTGTTGGGCGTTGTTAACTTCGGAAGGCTACGAGTTAAAAAAAAAAACCATACCTTTTATACTTTTTTTTTGGACTCGTTGTCTGAATCTCTCCAAGAAAAATGTAATGTTAATTTCCGGTACTCGGTAAGACTTCCTCTATCGAATTTCCGGAAGTCGTTGGACAAGTAATATAAAAAAGCAATAAAAAAAGGAACGCGATGCTTATCGAAAGGAAGTGAGGAACTAATTGGGCAAATGTACGATCGATTTCGAGTTCAGCATCCTGTCAACTCGACCATTTCAAGGCCCAGAATATCATCAATTTTAACTTCCTGCAAGTCTTAATTTGTTCTCCAGAGCAAAAGACTGGATATCCTATCTCGAATATTCTCTAAGTTGAATTTGTTTGCGAGTCCCTCGGATTTCGACATGAGAAAAGGCTTGATTGTAATTGCTTTCATTTGTCCGAAATCAGCATCATAATTTATCAGATTCGTCCAGGATTCGAATTTAGCGAGATAATTTTCTCCGCGTGGGATTAGTGTAAGTTCTTCGTGTTACTTTATGAATGTTTCAGTTGGGAGTGTGAAAATTTGAACTTATCTGAAAAAGCTTACCTGAAGTGCAGCGTTGCACCTTTTGAACGGACTTCACAGTGTCGCTAATTTTCTCTGTTAAGAATTAAAAAAAAAATTGCAATTTCGCTCAGGCGATATCACTGAAGTGTGGAAAATCCCATGTCACTTCGAAGAATCCTTAAAAAACTGAATCATGTTCCCCGTGATCAGTATTAAATGTTCCATGCATTTTTCTTCTTCATTTTTTCCATTCTTCGTCTGTTTGTGATGGGATGTTTCTTCTTTTTATTTCTCTATGTAAATAAACATCGCGTTATTGAAAATGAACGACCAGATTTCATCATCATGAAAATTTTCTGGGCTGCCAGCAATACCTTTTTGAAGGAACACTTCACCCCATTGAATTCTTTAGTTGTGAAATGTTTTCTTGATGGCTTTTTTTTGTTACCCCCAGGATCTCGATTGCTGTCCACGCCGCGACCGGCCAGTGTGCGTGGCAGTCGGAAGAGGGCGCTGTCCTCGTCGCCATATTACTCTGACTCCTTCGACATCAACTCCATGATCCGTTTCTCGNATAAAACCAACCTCACAATTTAATGAATTTTCGGGGCAACAAATTGTTTTATTTTGTAGCAAAAATCGTGAAAACGAAATTAAAAGACCGAAAAATAATTACTGTAAATGAACCGCCGAGGGTTTACTTTTCATTTGAAGGGATTTTTGAAGAATAACTTTTTCTAAAAGTGAGAATATCAATACAGTATTTAAAAAACCTTCGTGGGGCTAGTCGTGAAAGACTGAGAATATCAATACTGCATGCCTCAAAATTTAATGATTTTTCGGTAGCAATAAATTTTGTCGGGTTTGTTGAAAAAAAGGAGATGTCTCATGTTTATGGGCCTCCACTTATCAAATTTACCTGCTTGCACTCGTTCTTTGGAAGAATTGAAAGCCTCATTCTATAAGCATTCGGAAAAAAATGAGCCAACATTTTCGATTGTGCAAGAAAAGTTTCGAAGGAATGATTATCAAAAGTGTAGGTCTGATGACATTTTAAGATGGTTTGTCCTGAAAGTGTTTTAAGCAATACTGAAAACGAAGTTGAAGTTCAAAAATAATAAATCCCGAAACTTATTTAATGATCGAAGTAATGCCATATCAACTTCAAGAACTTCGCTGTTTTTATTCAACGCACATATCAAGGTCAAAATAGTAGTTATAAATTCAAGTACAGTATAAGCACAAAAAAAATCATGATCGTCGTGGTTTTTTTTTGCTTGCCTCTCCCAAAAATGTATGCGAATAGGAGGGGTGAGAAAATAAATGTGATTAAGAAAACTAAATCAGATTAATCAGTTCCTCAAATAAACTATTCAATGTAAAATCTTCTAGTGTTGCGGAGGAAGATCGAAATTTCATTCAACAAAATCTGACAGATAAATTGAATGCTTGCTTTTGTAAAATACAGTATTTTAAAAAATTTGACAGAAAACTGTACAGGAATTCAAATAATTTGTGTGTGCTTACATGTACTCATTTGGTTTTGTTCTTTTTCTCCCCCTTACGGATTTCGGATACTTCCCTCCAGGCTTGATGTCTGAGTACCTGAGCAGCAGTTTTGCGGCTGCTGCAGCGGCGGCGGCAGCGAGTGGCGTCCCGTCGCCGCTGCTGCTGCGGGCCTCGGCCTCGTCTTCCCTGGGCCACTCTGCGGGATCTGCATCGGGTTCGGGTTCCTCGAGTTCAACCAGCTCTGGACTCGGCGGGCTCATGGGTTGCTTCGGACCGCCGGTGCATTCCATGGTGGCGCCTGCACCACCCGTGGCGCCGCCACCGCACGTGCCCACGTCCATGTCCATGGAGTTTGCAGCCGGCATGCATCAGGCGGCTGCTGCAGCGGCGGCTGTGGCGGCTGCTGCTGCTGCTGCCGCCACCCCGCCCGTGTCTGCCGCCGCGTCCACTGATCTCTCCTTTTCGCTCGACGGTTGGTTTTCATTTTCTGGTTTTTTAAATTTAAACGTGCGAGAGGGATTTGAAACTGTCCATTGGAATTTATGTCGTTGTACAGTACGTTCTTTTTTTGGGGTTATTTTCAAAAATTATTAATTCGAATTCAGTTGGGCGTTGTGAACTTCGGAAGGCTACGAGTTAAAAAAAAAAAACCATCCCTTTTATACTTTTTTTGTGTGGACTCGTTGTCTGAATCTCTCCAAGAAAAATGTAATGTTAATTCCCGTACTCGGTAAGACTTCCTCTATCGAATATCCGGAAGTCGTTGGACAAGTAATCTGACGGCGACCCAGGAAATAGAAAAGCAATAAAAAAGGTAGCGCGATGCTTTTCGAAAGGAAGTGAGGAACTAATTGGGCAAATGTACGATCGATTTCGAGTTCAGCATCCTGTCAACTCGAACATTTCAAGGCCCCAGAATATCATCAATTTTAACTTCCTGCAAGTCTTAATTTGTTCTCCAGAGCAAAAGGCTGGATATCCTATCTCGAATATTCTCTCAGTTGAATTTGTTTGCGAGTCTCTCGGATTTTGACAGGAGAAGGTTTGACTGTAATTTCTTTCATTTGTCCGAAATCAGCATCACAATGTATCAGATTCGTCCAGCATTCGAATTTAGTGAGATAATTTTCTCAGTGTGGGATTAATGTAAGTTTTTCCTGTTACTTTATGAATGTTTCAGTTTGGGCGTGTGAAAATTTGAACTTATCAGAAAAAGCTTACCTGAAGCGCAGCGTTGCACCTTTTGAACGGACTTCACAGTGTCGCTAATTTTCTCTGTTTAGGATTTTAAAAAAATTACAATTTCGCTCAGGCGATATCACTGAAGTGTGGAAAATCCCATGTCACTTCGGAGAATCCTTGAAAGAAACTGAATCATACTGCCCGTGATCAGTATTAAATGTTCCATGCATTTTTCTTCTTAATTTTTTCCATTCTTCGTCTGTTTGTGATGGGATGTTTCTTCTTTTTATTTCTCTATGTAAATAAACATCGCGTTATTGAAAATGAACGACCAGATTTCATCTGTCCATCATGAAATTTTTCTGGGCTGCCAGCAATACCTTTTTGAAGGAATACTTCACCCCATTGAATTCTTTAGTTGTGAAATGATTTCTTGATGGCTTTTTTTGTAACCCCCAGGATCTCGATTGCTGTCCACGCCGCGACCGGCCAGTGTGCGTGGCAGTCGGAAGAGGGCGCTGTCCTCGTCGCCATATTACTCTGACTCCTTCGACATCAACTCCATGATCCGTTTCTCGCCCAACTCCTTGGTGTCGCTGGTGAACGTGTCGCGAGGTTCCAGTGTGTCCGGTTCCTACGGACATCTTTCCGCAGGTTTGTTTTTATTTATTTATTTATTTTTATTCTTGATACAGTAGAGGGAATTAATCCTACGAGAAACGGGTTTTACTTGTCATGTTTTCGTTATTTTCGAAATTTAAAAGTTGCTGTTTCAAGAAAAAGTTTCAAAAGAGCCCCGGGGAATCCAATATGAAAAAATAAATAGAAATGTATCTGGAAAATATTTTCGAAGGAAAAAAACATTTTCTGATGAATGTGTGAGAGGAACCGTTCAAGGTAATTTAATTTAAAATAAATCGAAAAGGAGAACGTCGTCGTTATCGTAGTCCCACGAAGTTTCGTGTTGACTGAATGAATATCAGTTTATAATTAATTTTTTTCATCGGTTGAACCCAGTTATTTTTAAAGACCCAGACATTTTTTTTGCACTGTACTGTAATGTAAAATAAATGAAAACTAGTACAGTATCTGGTCTTGCTTATATAGCCCCACAAAATGTTACATTGATTGATAATTAGCTTTTAATAAATATAATTTTTTAGAGGGTCAGATGGTCTACAAATGTAGTATAGCTTCCAATTTATTGGAGAAATGAATTTTAAAAAAAATTGTTTTTCTCATAGCCACACAAAACTGTGCATTGATCGAAAATTAGCTTCCAATTGATGTTCTTATTTTAATTTTTGACTGTATCCAGTAGTTCTTGAATCCAGTTATCTATGCTTTTTTTATAAAAGTTCATGAATGTATGCATCCGTTTTTTTTATACAGTATATTGTAAAATAATTGCAATTGTGTTGGAAGAAGGTTTTGAAATACAGTAAAATCTCGTTTCAATGAAGCCATTGGGTCCAGGAATATATCTTCGTTGTACTGAAAACTTCGTTCTAAAGTTGTGGTTGTTGAGCATCAAAATAACATCTTGCAAGCGATTATTCGTTCTAACGAGATTCGTTGTAATGAGGTTCTTTTAATCTACTGTATTCCTAATGCTGGGTTTCTCGTGTTTTTCCCTCAGCTTCTTTGATGGGGCATTTGAGCCCGGTATTCGGAGCACACCCGGCAGTGAGTCCAGGCCATCTTCAACAACTGCACCACCACCACCAGCTCCTGCGTTCGTCTTCCTCTTCGTTGCCCGGATCCCTGGCTGCCGCCACTTCTCTGCTCCCTCCGCCGCCTCCACCGCCACCCCCGCCGCCGCCACCGCATTTGTCAGTGCCGACTTCAGTCGCTGCCGCGTCTCTGTTCCTGTCGCAGCAGCAACAACAACAACACCAGTTTCAGATGCACCAGCTCCTCCGCCGCCTCCACCGCCACCCCCGCCGCCGCCACCGCATTTGTCAGTGCCGACTTCAGTCGCTGCCGCGTCTCTGTTCCTGTCGCAGCAGCAACAACAACAACACCAGTTTCAGATGCACCAGCAGCAACAGTTGCAGAGAGCGCAGCAATACGGGTCCCCGGCGGCGTCTCCGTTGCATTTTTTGAGTCCTGCGACGGCTGCTGCGGCGGCAGCTGCTGCAGCCGCCGCCGCGGCGTCCTTCAATCACAACACGCTTCTCGCTGCGGCTGCGGCGGCCAACAATAAGGTTCGCTCCTTACAATTTAATCATCTTGGGCATCGAGATGTTATTCGAGGAGTCATTTTGAGAGCCCCGATTTTTTTGCGATCATTACCTTTTACGAAAGATTCTTTGAAGCAAAATGGCTTCAGGCGAAAGTTTAAATAGTTTTCGAATCAGCAGCAAAGGGCGGTCACGTCTTCAAAATTTTTTGACAGAAAGCAAAACTGATTGATCTGAATTCTCTTGGAAACAATTGCTTAAAAAAACACCCAAATTGAAGGCTTTCCCCCTCAAACCTCCATAACTTCAATTTTCTGAAGGCCTTTTGGCTATTGTTTTATTGACACGGGAAAGAGAAAAGCGATGATGATGTATCTCGATTCGTTTTGAAAGGAAGTGAAAGACTAAAGGGGGAAAATGAACCCTCGCCTTCAACTTCAGCATCCTTTCAACTCATTCAGGAAGCAATTTAAGTCTGAGAATATCACCAATTAGAATGTCCTGTAATTTTTCTCTTATCCCCAAAACGAAGTTTTTATTTAACTATCAAGTATTTTTCTTCGCATTCGATTAAAGGTGTCGTCAACGGGTTCGACGTCGTCGTCGGTCCTATCATCGGCATCGAGTGGATCCCTGGAACCCTCGTCTCGTCATCAACCTCCAACCTCAGTGTCCAACAAGGACTCCCCTGCAGTGGTCTCCTCAACCGTCATGGACGTGGACGTGGACATGAAGCCCGAAATGGCGCCTTTGTCGCCACCAACGCCATCGCAGCCTCACGCCACGCACCACCACCACCACCACCATCACCACCACCGGCGCCAGTTGTCTTCGGAACCATCCCCGACACGCGGCGACGACGAACCCGGGGATTTCATCGAGACCAATTGTCACTGGCGAGGATGTTCGCTGGAATTTGCGACTCAGGACGAGCTGGTGAAGCATATCAACACGGATCATATTCATGCGAACAAAAAGAGCTTTGTGTGTCAATGGGACGAGTGTTCGAGGGAGGAGAAGCCGTTTAAGGCGCAGTACATGTTGGTGGTGCACATGCGGAGACACACTGGGGAGAAGCCGCACAAGTGCACTTTTGAGGGCTGTGTGAAGGCCTACAGTAGGCTTGAGAACCTCAAGACTCACCTCAGGTCGCATACGGGGGAAAAGCCGTATTTGTGCGAATTTCCTGGATGCACAAAGGTTCATATTCAATGTCTTTATCTATCAAGAATTTAATATTAATTTTTATCGAGTCATCAATTATTTTTTCGTTACATATTAAGAATTTTGAATAATCGAGAATTTGCCAAATGGTTCATGTACTTGATCAATTCCCCCTTGAAATAATATTTTTGACTGGATCATCTTTAAAATCCGTAGAATGTAGAATTTTTTTCGAGCTTCCTGAAATCCCATTAACTGATGAATTTAAAGCAGTAAATGGAATGACTGCTGAACTTGTTTTGAATGGCGTTGCAATATTTTTCCATGTTCTCGCTTTTAGAACCTTATCTTTTTTTTTGGTTTCTGAATACAGTAGTCGATGCTATGCTTTAAAAATTGCGTGACCATTTTTAAGAAAATGAATGTCATCCGGTAGCTAAAAAAAATTGCAGACTAAGCATATTTCCAGAACCCCTAGAAGCCGAGCTTCAGTATAGAGTTCGGAGACATGGTGAAGAATTTGTATTATTTTTTTTAGAAATGTTTACATCGGTTATTTTGCCTCCTGAAGCATGAAAGAACATTTGAAATTTTTGGAAATACGAGAATAATTTTTCAGCGCACTTCAGGATATCGGAAATGCTTTTATAAGCTTGAAAATAATGGGTATCAATCGCAGAATCTTTTCCATAATCGTGAGAAACGAACGCAAGCTATAATATTTCTTGCATTTTTCCTGGCGGACTCGGATAGATGAGGATTCATTGCTAATTTTCAATATAATGCTTCGCATCATTTTCTCGAAATGTCTGGTGATTGCCTGAGTCATTTGCCTTTTTTAAATGCAATGCTTATCTTATGGCTAATATATCATATCGGTCTTGCTTGCCGTACCTCCATTTGGATCACTCGAGCAAACTTTTTTTCTTTTTTCAAAGGAGGTATAATGATACTAAAATTGAGTTCGTGAATGGTCAAATGACCTTTTTGGTAGCGTTGATAACGCGAGAAGCATATTTTTTTGCATGACTTGATAATAAAATTTTTGATCCAATTTTTCCAGGCGTTTTCGAATGCTTCGGACAGGGCGAAGCACCAAAACCGAACACACAGCAACGAGAAACCCTACGTGTGCAAGGCGCCAGGATGTACGAAACGGTATACGGACCCGAGTTCCTTACGGAAACACGTGAAAACTGTCCATGGAGCTGATTTCTACGCCAGCAAGAAACACAAGGGCAACGATCACCCGGGATGGTCCGGAGGAGGCGGCGGTGGCGGCAACAGCAGCAACGGCGGCGCCAGTGGAGGACCCTCCGGAAGCGCCCCTGGTGGAACTCATGGTAAAGAGAAGTTTTCGAAAATTTTGAGATTTCAAATTATGTGGATCTTTCAAAGTTTTATCGGGCCCTTTTCCCGTTGATGTCACGATGTTCCTTTGAGTCACGAAGTTCCTCCCTGTTTGGTTCATAGGTGTCGCCCCCCGAATTTACTTGTTCTTGGTTGCGCTTATTGTTGAGCTGAATACCGTACTTAAAAAAGTACAAATACTGTATATGAAATCAAGGGTAAGCAGAAAATTAAAAAATACTTAATGCAGGTGGACTTCCCATGTTAAGTGTTCTCTATGACGAATATTTCCTTGGTCCCTTGAATTTCGAGAGTCCACCAGTATTGTATTCGTGAATTCTTGGGCATCTCCACAATGTTTACTAGCTACGAAAATACCTGAATATTCCTCACTTCGTCGGCTGATGTCCCGATTGCTTGATGTTTCCCTGGTTGATTCAGAGGTGTCGCCCGAATTCATTCGCGTTGGTTGGCGTTCCCGTTGAACCGAATGATTTAAATTCTTTGATGAACAAGAAATTAAAAGTATGCTATTTTACATCAGCATTTTTGGGGATCTCTCTAAAACAAATTGAAATAAATGAATGAAGGGGCGCTCAATAGGATGTTGAAATCTTGAAAATCAAAAAAAAAAAAAACTTGAAGCCTTTGTAGAAAGTCGATTAAGAAAACTCTAATTATAATAATATATTTATGGTTCGTTCCGTTGAACCTAATAATATTACAGTGGAAGCCCCTTCGCATTGATCGTCAAGCGGACAATTTTATATTTTATAGGCACAAAAATTCCCCAGGAGGAACGCGAAGGATTCCTTGAATTCTTGTTCAGTCTGAATTATTCATTCGTACAAGTTATTTATTGATCTCGCGGTCTTCTTTCGCTTCGCTTGCCTTTGGAATTTTCAGAGATATATATTTCATTGGAATGTGGTCAGATTCACTCCCGCCGAAACATCCTGAAAGTTTCGGACTACTGGGAAATATTCTCGAAAAAGAAAGCATCTGAAGGACCTCTGAGGAATTTTAAAGGCGACTGATGTACTGTCATCCTTGAATCATGAAACATCTTCTGAGTTTCGTGTGAAGAGAGTATTCCAGCATTTAAAAATTAATTTTGGTTCGATAATATAAAAGCAGTCTTCATTTTGCGTGAAATATAATGCTCTTTTTCAGATAGCTGTAAAAGTTGGTAATTGAATTGAAAATATTGTATAATTTTTCCTGTAACCGTAACGTAGGAAATATATACTTTTTTGAGCGTAGAATATGATGATTAAATTAGTTTCGAATGAAAATTGGAATCCATAAGATATAAGGAACGAAATTTAGACATTATTACTGCCAAGACCGATGTTCAGCACGTTTATGTCATTTTGGCGTAAGTCTTCTTCTTGTGATTTATCAACATTCTGTAATATTTCAGAAAATAGGGGGAAAATGATCCTTTCTTCTAAAGAAAACGCCACAATGATTCATTTGTACTGTCGATAATCGTTGTTCTTAAGGTGCTGCTAATTTCCTTCTATTTCCGTGGCGCCAGTCGAAAAAGTCGGATATTCCCCCCTTCATTTCATATGCCCATAAAACTTCCAATTGTCTAAATTATAGCAGGATTTTTTCTCATCGTAAAAATTTGTCTCGACACTGATGATTGTTCGATTATAACTTGCCGAAATACATGCGTATTACGGGTAATGTACTTCAAGAAATTAAAGTTGGAAGTCATTTTAAAAAGTCTATTAACCGAGTAACGTCAAGATATTTGCGATTGCTAGTCCATTTTATATGCCTCGAAAAATTTCTCTAGGAATTCTAGTAAATGAAAAAATTGCAATCGAAAAATATCCTAAATTTTCACACATTAACAGCAAAAACACTTCCTTCCATTTCTTTCCTCCTTCCGAAAATTATTTCGTTTGCATCCCCCAAAAGTATTCAATTTTTGAGAGATAATTTTTCCGACGAGGATATCCGTCGTCGGAAATCCGGCTTTTCCAAACCGTTTGTTCAAATTTCTTTTCCTTTTGAAAATTGCAGGAGGAAGCGACGGAGCAGAAGGCGGTGGATCGAGTCGGCGCCACCGAGCACCAGACCCAGACGCCAACATGAGCGATGGCGGCAGTCCTTCAGGTGGCGGTCGAAGCGCCGCAGGCTCCACGCCGTCTCCGTCTCCATCGGTGGTGGCGGCGTCGTTTCGAACGTCGCGAAGCCGCGGCGGTAGTAATGGTAATGGCGTTGGTTGGACAAACCGAGAAGCCGTGTTCCCGGCGCCGATTTCGGAGAACCTCGTGTCGACAACGACGTCGACGTCGAGTCACTTGCGACATCCGCCGCACGGGCAACAGCAACAACACCACCAACAACAGAATCATAATAGTAATCATCATCATCGGTCGAGAGATAACAACATTGACGACGATGACACTTGTAGCAGTATGCGTGATGAGGATGATGACGAGGTGTCGAGTCGGAACTGGGCTCTCCCGGTCGTCGTAAGTAGTACTTTTTTTTATTGATTCATACAAGCTTTATTTGCCGCTCGTCAGCGTTCACGGGGTTCACACAATTTTACCAACACACGTCATTTTGACACATTCCGACCTATCCAAAAATAATTCACTACTGTACATGGATATTGAATTACAGTATAAATTCATCAGATTAAATGCTTGCAAATGCAAGAATAATGAATTTCCTGATTTTTTTTCTAAGAACGACTCAAATCACAAGAGAAGGTAATTACTGAGCCCACATTAAAGCGCAAGATGTTTTGCCTGTTCCCAGATAATTTTTGTGGATTTTTTTATTTTAATGAAATTCTCTTGTCAATTTTATCGGGCGTTTCCTTGTACGTATGCAAAAAAAAATCTGATCTTCATGAATCCAACGATGGAAGCACAAGGCAGCTGAATTGATGCACGAACCCTCTTAGTTTTTGAGAAGATTATTAATTCCATGCATTTTCTCATTACTGTACATCAAACTTAATTTTTCGTATTTTCAGTGTGTCTTTGGTGGAAATAAATATGGGATTGTGTTGTATTTTAAATTTAAATTTGAATTTTTTCGTCGTTTTAATATTTTTCTTTGAATAAATGCAGTCGTGCCGAACGTTGCCAACGACTGTGATGATGCCAAATGGCATTTCCGTCGGAGGAGGAGGAGACGGAGGTGGTGGAGGAATGGCTTGTGATCCCAATTACATGGTCTCAGTCGGCAGCCCAGCTTACCCTGGCCTGGGTCAGCACCAGCAACACGGGCAGCATTTGCAGCACCAGAATCATCAACAGCAAAGTGCCTCCTGGTGGAACCAACAGTCTCAGGGAGCCTATTTGGACCCCAAGTCCCGCCTCAATCCCGCTTACGTTCCTCCTCAACAAGGTCAGTTTTTGTTCTGCGAAAATAAATTACGTGGATAAACTTCCTCGAATTTTTTATTAATAATTGCCAAGCATTGCTGCCTGATATTTCAGGAAAATGTTTTATGAATACAGTAGTAAAAAAAACTGAGAAATATTGTAGTGTCGGAACGACTGTTGAATTCAGGTGACATCTATGCAAAAGCAGAGAATATCACGGACTTGTGCAATGCTCTCGAGCAAAAATATCTTCTGAATGGTTGACGCCCTCCATTTTGAAGAGAAAATTTGGAATTCTTGTTGATTCTAGTGTGTTTTTTAAGGATGTGGATGCTTCGCTTCTGTTTGGATTAGAGTAAAGTGTGAGGACGATATGCAAAAGTAAAAATGGCTTTTCAGAAATTAATCCAGAGTACTTCGTTTTTTTGCCTCAGTTCTCCGGATGTGACAATATACGTCTGTAATAACACATATTTGTATTTTATTGCCCTTGAGCATTTTCAAAATAAACAGTTTTTACTCTTTTTGCAGGATTTCGGAATGATTCCCCAGCGTATCAGGGCCATTTGGGCAAACATGAGCAAGGCGAAGAGCTTAATCGAGGATTATCCCATCTCTCAGTTGGCGCAAATAAAACCATGCTTCATCGAAACCAAGCCCACAACCAGATGATTGGGCAACTCCAGAAAACATGTGATCTCGACTATCCTGCCACAACAATTCCTTCAGGTACGACAACCCGAACCTTCAAAATTGTCTGTCAAGAGAAGTCGAAGTTTTTATTTCGTATTTCCTTCCAAAATGATTTTCTTGAGTTAAATATGGTTATGTTTTATTGTTGTTGGTTCCTTGAAAGCGAGAGGAAATGTTTTTTTGACGTGACACGCTGGTTCTCATTTCTTCGAAAGCTGCTTCCTTTTTTTTACGCGCCACTTAGATGTCGCTTGAATCCATGGCCTGTCCTACGAGTCAACTTGATCAGAAATATTCATGCAGGATCTTGTTCTTCCTGATGAACATTCATGTGGATGAGATGAATGAAGTTGATTAATTTTTGTGTTTAATTAATTAACTCAGGTTCGACGGCTAATTTTCTACGACAACAAGCTGCCATCAATACCCAGAGACGAGACAGTGCAGCCACGACTCTGAGTTCGTGTTATGGAAGCATGAAGTCTGGAGCTAGTGGTGCATCGTCAGGGAGAGGATGGCAGTCGTCGACACCGACAGTGTCGAGTCCCGGCGTCAATCAACAAATGGCGTATCCAACGCAAATGCAGCACCAACACGGCCAGCAGTTGCAGGACAGTAGACGTTGGAGTGCGGCCTCTTCTCAGGTTAACAAATAATCCTGAATACAATATTTTTAGAATTGCTTAATAAGATGCAAAGCTCTTTTATGATGCAAAGCTTGTGCAATATTTGAATCGTAGCTTGGTTTTATTTTATTTTTTTGCTTACTGAATTTTTGGAAAGTTTTTCACAGCCATGGTCAATTTTACACTTTTTTCCCCGCGTGTTTTAGTTTACATAATAGCCATAGTCGGATATTACTAACATTTCCCTGGCGTTTGAGCTCTTTCCAAATCCCCCCTCTGTTGAAAAAGTAATGGAAAACTTCCTAAGTAACGTTATTTAGAAAACGTGTTCCAACTTCCGATTATGAAAACTTCCGGCAAAGTAATTGATTCTTCAACTTGTGGACTAACTGAAATGACATCAATCCAAAATGGGGGTTTTTAGGGGCTCAATTATGCGTTTTCACGCAATATCAGAAGAAAATCCAAAGATGGACATGGAAAAATGAAATTATGTGTAAAATGAGTGGTCGGAATTCAATTTATGAAATGAAGGTTCGAGTTTGTTTACTTTATTGAATATTTTCTTTTTATGCAAATGACAAAAAGTCAGTTTATAAATGAAAGGTTGTCTCATCGGAAGTTGAAATGGAATAGTTCGCGAAGAGCAAAAGTCAAGGTTGAATCTGCTGCGAGAGATTTTTTTCCGACTCCTCTGAAAATAAACCAGAGCAATTTTTTTCATAGTGTGAGCAAGATTAGATTGAGTCCGTTTTATTTTGAGAAGTAGAGAATGTGAGGTACCGCATAATATTCTCTGATGTCCAAACAATGGCATGGCCAGCTTGCTTCAAATTCTGTATTTTAATAGCCAATTTTGTTGTACTGTATGGTTAAAAAAAATGACACAAAATCTTTTTTTTTTCTTTTTTCAGTGCTCAAGTGGAGTCAATGGAGAAAGCAACATGAAGTTGCATAGTCAACCGGCTCCACCTTACCCCCAGCAAACCCGTCGGGTCTCTGCTGGACCAGGTCCAACAACGTTACTCTCCTGGGGCAACAATAACTCGACTGCAACCGGATTGAGTGCAAGGCCACACCTGCAACATCCAGGACTACATCAACAACAAGTTGCTGGACACCAGGTGGTGCCACCAAACAGCACTGGTGGAGGTGGTGGTGTAGGTGCAGCAGTGTCGCGTCGTCGCAGCTCTGGTTTCTCGTCCATTCGCTCCAATTCAGATTTGTCGTCCACTTCTCCTGCCGTGGCTGCGCACCTGCAGAACTTGCACCAGAGGGCGGTAGCATCGCAAGATCTGGTCAGGCCCACCACTGCTGCAGGTAGACTAGAATCATCTCGTCACTATATACTTGATCATTTTAATGTTTTTGTAAGCTACAGAAAGCTGGAGATGACTAGCAACACTTGGGCATCAAGTTTTTAAATTTGTAATTAATTATCTAATCAGGATAAGTGTTACTCCAACCTTGGTTATTTCTTGAGTAGGTATGACTAATAAATAATGATACAGCCCATGATGTAAAATTCTGGGATTTTTTTCCGAATTTAAGAAAAATGTTACAATTTACTGCATGATGTAAAGTGAAAACTTTCCAGTTATGGCCAGAGTTCTCCCCCCATGTCGCAGGGTGCTAAAATTATCAGGCCAGCGGAAAAAATTAAATTGTTGTTGTTATACATTATTAAGATTGTGATCATTATCTGAAATGTAGAAGAGATAAGGTTTAAAACAATATCATTAACATTTCTTCTGATCAATTACAACGGATGGTGGAAAATTTAATTTATAAACATTTTATTCAATTGCAGTCCTGACATGGGTGACTTTTTTTATGCAATCTTCATATTCCGTAGTATCAGTGGCAGAAAAATGTTGATCATGTGTTGCTGCTGATTTATTGATTTAAATAAAATATTTATTCAGTAAGACTCCAATGAGTAAAGCAGGAGACTGACAAAACTTAGTAATAATAACTCATTTTGCAGTGGTTGAAAAGCCACTCAAGGAAAATCTGCGTTCATTTGCACTAAAATTGATTCTATTAATATTTTTTTTTTGTCTTTTACGCAGGAAACAACCACAACTTCCAGCCAATGGTGCCAACACAGACAAGTTTCAGTGATAGGAGAAGCTCAGATCCGGGTTCCCAGAGAAGCTGGCAGCAGCAGCAGCAGATGCAATATGGCCATCAGGGTCAGTATCTACCTCAACAGCAGCAGCAGCAGCACTGGGTGCAACAGCAACAACAGCCACAGCCGAGAATCGGTGCTTCAGGTGCAGGGTGGACGCAGCAGCAGCAGGAGGACCAACAACTACCTCCGCAGCCAGTTGCTACCAACTACCAGTATCCCCAACAGACAACCAGACAGATGCCTAATAATGTGCCATGGATCCCACCTGCTCCCCAGCATCTGCAGCAGCAAGTATGAGAAACTCTTCCCTTCCCTTCACTTGGATTGAATTCTGGAACTAAGTTCATCTTTTGAAAGTCGTTTTATTTGCTCACCTAATCAATTACAATGGATGATGAACATTTTAATTAACTGAAAATTTTCTTCAATTGCAGCCCTGACCGGGCGACTTCTTTTTTTGGCAACCTTCAAATTCCATAGTATCAGTGGCAGAAAAATGTTGATCACGTTTTGTCAATGTGGTTTTTCTTCCATATCCACTCATTGAAAACTTCATTACAATTTTTGTGAAGGAGGGAAACTCACTTGAATTTTTGAGAATATGTAAAAACATTTGCCGAACACATGCTGTTATTAGCTGTCTCATCACAAAGTATATCTTTCAAACAATGTTCATAAATTCATGAGATGATCGATCAACGAAAAAAGTTTTGAAGTAAAAAACTCTTCAAGGAATATTGTTCGAAAATGAATGCTTTGCAGTTGCCGCTCCACGAGCACAATTTTTTAAATCACTATGTATCAAAATCTCATGTGTAATAAATATCAGTACTTTTTGGTTGTTGACTAATTGAATTTATTTCCTTCTCTTCATCAGACGCAGTTTGTGTCGCAGCATCGCCCCCCGTCCACCGCGCCATCTAGTGTTCGTGGTGCAGAAAACACTGCACCACAGCCGCAGAATCATCAGTTGTCCGATGCTTCCTACCAGCGGACCTTGGAGTACGTCAAGGGCTGTCAAGCCTGGCAACAGCAGCAGCAGCAACAACAACATCAACAGCAGCAGCAGCAACAGCCTGTGCATCAACACCAGAATCAGATGCATTTGTACTCGCCACCTGCGCAACAAGGTGCTCCGCAGCAGCAGCAGCAACAGATGATTATGACGAATCTGTCCCCGAATGTGAACAATGGATCGTCACCAGCTAATATGGCTGATCTCAATTGCTGGTACCCAACGACGACGACGACGTCGGGCTTCCAGCAGCTCCAGTCGCCGTCCGTGTCACAAATGGCGGCCCGCGCGGCCACCAACAACATGGTGGTGAATAATCTCAACTCAAGCCTCACGTCGCTGGCGGAAGAGAATCGCTATTTGCAGCTGATTCAGTGATGAGCCGGCAATTTTGTCCTCGGTTTTTTTTTTTTTTTTTTCGGGTTTGATCGATTGAAATTTTTTTGTGGACCCATTTTCCCGAATTATTGATGTTTTGACCCCGTTTATGTGTCATGTTATGTGCTGGATATGCCGAGTTGTATGATGAAAAGCCCGTGCCGCTGACGCTACAATTGTCGACTCATTTCATCTCTCTGTGGAAAAAAATAGCGTTGCGTATCTGGGAAAAAATTTCGCTTTTGAAAAACTCAGCGTGTACGGAACCGTATTTAGGCAAGTACCATGTGCACCTTCTTTGTTTTTGTAAAAAGCAAAGCAAAAACATGGTTGTAATATTATACATGTTTGACAATAAACGTAAAACCAGTATTGAGTGAGCCATGTTTGAGCCTCTGTATGTAAAAGTAACTAACATGGGGCACTGTTGGGCACCAATACTATTAAAACTGTTCCATGTTATTGTGTTCGTTTTTGAGATTACGGTACATTATTTTGTTGAACATTGTTATTTTAAAAAGAAATAACATCTTCATCCAACAAAAACTGAGGTTTGGATCCTTACTTCATGCAGTAAATGCAATACACAGGTGAACTCTCTCTCTAACACAAAATTCAAAAAACCATAAAAATAATTTCATTTATTACATCTTGTTCGTAAGAGCCGTTATAGAACATGTGGAGAGAACCGAAGGAGAGTCATCTATACCCGCATTTTTTTTTCGAAGTCGGAATTCTGTCAAGCTCTCCATGCGATCGAACATAGTAGAGAATGGCTTCAAAGGGATGGCATCCATGGAGGTATAGAAACAAATCTAGCAGGATTCAATGCCACTGATGGAGAGGATACAGAATACAGTACCGTATATACACAGTAATTTCATGTACAGTAATTTCATCAAAGTTTTCTGAAGAGCGACATCTACAGCATTTTAAATATATAAAGCGAATGACGGAAAAATCCCTGCTGTTAGATGTACCGAACTACCCACTAGATGCCTTTCAGGTGAATGACCAAAAAAGCACAGGACTCAACTTCAATACACATTTTTGATCAAATGATGGTTATAAATTTTTAATATTTAAAATATTAAATTCAGATTATGCTAAATGTGCTTCAAATATTCTCGATTATTTTTGTCTGCGGTGGAATGAGCAGAAAGTCGGATGTTTTCCAACTTCAAGACGAGGCAGTGATATCTAATCTTCCCGGTGCATTCATTAAAATTTAATTATGCCGACCGGGAAAATTTTATTCATTCATGTGATGAGGCAAGGAACAGGTTTCTTAGTCATGAGTCTTTGATCTCGACTTTGCGGTAACATTGCTATTCTTCGGGAAAAACGTTCTGACTTAATCGCGAATAGTAATATGGAATAGCATTCATGAACTTGCAAAACAATACTGCAAATGTTCAGTATGTTTCATACAGCCCGAAGCTCTCGAAAGAATAAATAAACGAGAGAATAATAAGACAATTCCGAATATCGTGAGAGTGATGTGAGCCTGCGACACCCGCGATTTGAGTTGAAGTTCTGGTTAATGGCGGCGCGCTATCATTCAACCGCTCTCCCTCGTCCCGAGCTGAAGCACGTCAGTCGAGGTACGATTATCCTAGTACAGTACAGTATCCCTAGCTTGAAAAAAAACGAAGATCAGTGACCGGTTCTCCGAATTATCTGTGTCCCGAAACCGCGTGTTGAATTGTGTTCGGTGACTGGAAGTTTTTCGTTGAAATTCTCCCTTGAAACCAATCAGTGCGCTTCTTGGAATTTCTTTATGATGACATTTCTTCCATACCAAGTCGGATGACTCGCGTTTACCTCTTGTTTCGAAAGTTTTCATGGAGCAGACAGAGATTCCATCATGTCTTCATTTATCAATGGGAGCTTAGAGAAAGTATATCTCGGGTTTTTGAAATTAAGAATCCTTTCTTTCATGTTTACTACAGTAGAAACAGCTCTATTTTACGGAGATCTTCAGATTTCGAGATCAGGTCTCACTTGTAGAAGTTTACAGGGTTAATTTAGTTCTAGTTAGGTCCAACTAAAGTTTTGCTCATTCGAATTCTTGATCCATTAGTTCTCGCCATAATATTTTGGGGAAAAAAGTGAACTGCTCATCAAAAGTGAGCTATTGTTCCTACGTCAAACGAGTGTTATTCTGAATCTCTGTCCATTTTCGATCAATACGAAATGGTGGGATAGAACTGACAGAAGTGTTTTCATTCGTCAAAAAAATATATAATGTATACTGTATATATATCTAGGAACGCTTTTCAAGAACAAATTATTTTTGCCGTTTAAGGCAGCGAAATCGGATCGCGTATCTCACATTCTCGGTAATCTCGGAAAGCATATCCTTCGGCGAACCTATTATTTTTGAAGGTTTTGGTGAAAGCGTAAGTACAGTACTTAGCTCTTGCGATTTAGTTCGTATAGCCGAGTTCCACGTGATGGTTCGTTAACTTTCAAGCGTGAACTCTCTTTTCGTGAAGTGCGAAAGATAATCTGAACGAGTACTCCACTGTTAATAGAAGTACAATTACGATCTGAAATTTCCATATTGGTTCATTGTTATGCTTCGAGAATCGTGCCTGAAAGAGTCCTCAGTTTTGAGTGTAATATCCCTGTAGATCATTTGCTCTTTTGTTGGCGACCTCGTTCACTGTTGCAAAATTCTGGCGTTACTTGATACACCGTAAAATTCTGGGAACACAATCTCATAAAACTTAGAGTTTCTCATCACCATATCAAAGAGGCTTTTACGTTTTCAAACTTATTTACCGAGGAAAAACAATCCTCCGACTGAAGCTGGATAGAAGCATCGTTACCCAAGAAATGAGATCCGGACTTGGAACTTCATTCCCTCGTTCGAACTTGTATAGTTCAAGTGTCGTATGTCGTAGGGCAAGATTAATTCAGAAGTTGTAACCTGTTTCAAAGCCTTGCTTCCCTTCTCTTATTAGAAACGTACTCCCGGTTTCGCTGAATGATTCTCGCGTGTAACGTGATACTAGGAATCATTAATGGTTCGAGAAGTGTTACGATGACAGCGAAAGAAAACGTTGTATACTGCATTGCGGAACTTTAAATTAATGGCAACTGTTGACGTGGTAAAAAATGTTCCACTATTTTTCAAAGCTGATCGACTGTTGTATTTGTATGCACTGATGGCAGATGTACTGACTTCCTTCTGTCATAGTGCTCTATTTACGGAGAATTCCATCAGTTCGTAATGAAGTGAGTGTGTTTTGACTGAGTTAGGATTTATTGGATTCCATCAGTTGAGTTTGTGATCGTTGTGCGTCTCAATTGTGAGCCCATGTTCTGTGTCAATTTTCTCTTGAGAATTTCAGTTTTTTGTAATATGCGTGGGTTTTAATATAAGTTGCCAACTTGTGTGCAGTTCTCCTTCACTTCCGATTGGAAGATGGAGAAGTAACAGTGGAAGATTAGTTTCACTCCATGCTGGAGTTGCGGCGAAAGTGACGATTATGTGCGATTGATGTGCCTTATTTTTGGAATGCCAGCATTTCATAGTCTATTTTTCAATTGTTTCTAGTGCAACAGCGAGATTTATCAAATTTCATTCCTCGTGAAATCAGCGTTCTTACGTGTCGTCGAAAGTGAGATCGGACAGTGGGAATGAACGCGAAAAAATTGACGCTACTCCAGCGAACCGTTCGTTTGTTCTTAATTTCTTCATGTTTCAGTTTCCAGTGTCAACCTGCTGAGTGAAAAACTGTTCTTTGATGTTTTTCCGTGAATACCGCTCCTGATTTCCCGTTCCTTGTCCGGCGCACGCAGTACGTGATTTCATTGTTTCTCACGATGCGGGGTTTATCTTCAGATTTTATCGGATGCTACCATTTTTTTCTGCTGAGTAACTAGTAGAGACAAGTGGAACTCATGTTTCGCTGACGAGTAGTCAGCGTATTTGTATGTATCTTCTCATCAGTGACGAAACTCCTTCGAGGGGAATTTTCAATCAGTCCTGTCCCTTTGTGAACGGCTTATTTGAATCCTGAAGTTCCTTAAGGCCGTTTTATTTTCTGCGTTCGGAAGTTAGTCTGTTTCAGGACTGTGTTCTTCTTTTCCTTTTATTCAGTGAAAAATAGTGGTGATGCGTGACATGTTTTCTTGGCGGTGTCGAAGGGGAATGAACGTGGGATTGGACGAAAGTTCATGGTCACAGTTTTCCCGTGACCGCGATCAAATGGAAACTTGAGTTTTTACTTCGTGTTGCAAGATAATCCGACGAGTGATTACTCCCGAGTGTTGGACAAGATAAAAGAAAAATAATCAGGGTTATCGTGTTTTCGCGTAGATTTTGAGTATTTGACGAAGGAGAGCCAGTGTCTAGGTAATGCTCATGAATGTTCTCGCAATCAGTGCATCTTGCGATAAACTTTCTTGAGTTTGTTTTAGGATCCCGTCTGACAGGATTTACTTCGATAGTTGAGATAAAAGCTGATTTGGATGTTATAGGGGAAGCTTGGCCCATTGTGTTTAATTACAGTGAGTGACAGCGAAGCGAAAGACCCGCGCAAAAAAGTATCTAGGGCAAGAAAGTGACTCACAAGGCAATTTGTTTTGCCCAAAAATTCTCGAATTTTATCAAATTTTATTCCAATCTGCGGAATTTTTCCGAAAAAATGTGGGAAACAAAAAAATTAGTTCAAGTTCACACATCCTTCATAATTTTCAGATAATGAAGAGCAAAAAGTTTAGATTACTTCAGTTCAATGCTGATGAACTTAATTTTGAAAAATTCTGAGGAATTTTACTCTTCTGAGTAAATGTCGGGAACAAATGGAATCGGTAACAATTTAACCTTGAGGAAGAACATGTTTCGAGTTTAATAAATTTTGCTCTACAAAAAACATCCAGGAACGGATCAGTTCCGTTACAGTCCACTGTAATTTGTTGATCATTGACTTTTTTTTGGAGGTGGGTCACGTTCGTTTGGTATATGGTTAGGTCATTAAAGATTTTATTGAGTTATTGAGATGGGCGGAGACGCATTCCGATAATTAATTACGGTATTCACTCGAGTGCCTCACGCCCTCGAGTAAGACACACATCCCAAATTTTTACTCCTCGAATTTTTATTAAATCCCATCTTCAAGTCTCAGATGCGCCCCTGATTTATAGTGACTGGAAAACTGCAATAATTCAAAAATAAGTTTCCAGATTTCGAATTTTGACATTGATTCACTCTGAATTCTGTTAATTTTCAATCTTTGACGTGGTGAAGAACTTGTGTAAAAAGTTCCACATTGTATACGAGTGTAACTCCCTCCTAAAATCCTGAAGTTTTTTTCGTGCACCCCCTTTTTCCTCTCTATTTTGAGAGAAAAGGTTCATGTGGTATTTTAATAAGTATGGTGATCCATTTTTCGCAATAAGCGTTGAATGCTGGTGTTGGCCCTGTTCTGCTCAATCCTCGCGAAGAGTGTTCTCGAATGTTTTTTTTTTCTTAGTGTTGATGCGCACTCAAATTTGCGCGTGTCTTCGTTTTGCAGGATATTTTGTGTGACAATTGAAGAAGCTCGGTGATCGTTTTCTAGTGATGCTCAGGAACGTAGTTTGTGAGGCAATGTGACGAGAATGGCTGCTGCTCAATCACGATCACGAACCATTTCGTAGTATGCAAAGCGTGGTGCGCAGCGGCGGTGGGCCGAATGCATCCCAGTCTACTGGCCCGGGCCAGGATTCCCCGGTGCACATGAGTCTGGCCCAGCAACAGGGGTTCTACCAGCAGCAACAGCAGCGAGCGCACCAGGCTTACCTGCAGCGCGACGTTGCGCCATCTGTGGCACCAGCGAAGCGAGTGGCGCTGGGTGACAGTGGTGGTGGTGGTGGTGGTGGTGCTGTTGCCAGTGGTGGTGCACAGGCTTCTGCTGTTGCTGCTTACCGGTTCCAGCCGACGGGGAATCATGTGCCCCAAGGGTTGTCAGCTGCTTATGCGGCGTCTGTGGCGTCGCAAAGAGGTAGTGGTGGTGGTGGTGGCGGCGGTGGTCCTCCACCTCAAGAGCCACCGAGATACCTGGTAAGTTTTTTTTTTTTTATGTACTGTACATTCAAACTTTGATTTAGTGCCATCAGGTGTCCTGGCACATATTTTGGCATGAGCAAGGGTAGCACTAAATTGATGGTAGTGTATGAGAGGAAGGATTAGTTGGGGGTTCGCCGAAATTGTTGAGCCACGAAGTCTGTGTTGGAGATGAAGCAGCAAGAAGCTCAAATGAATTGTGTTTTAATCTATTTACCCCACAGTAATTACAGAATATATTTTACAAATACAATATATATACATATGCGTCCATTAAAAGAGCAGAGCTGTTTCCTGAAGGTTTGTTTGATCTTCCAACTGTATTAGGTGCCATCATGTGGAAATAAACAATTTTCCGATGAAAGCTTCCACTTTTTCTACATTTTTTGTTAAAGATGGTTTTATGTATCAACAAAAGCATTTCCAATTATGTCGATTCAGAAATAGAATGTTTAAAATTGTCTTGAGATGTTTGTTGAGCATGTGCGTGTGATTCTCATTAATAACCGACTGATGTCAATAGGAAAAGTCTATTTTTTTTAAATTTTGCCCATTTTTCATCCATGACTGAATTTTGGCGGCACTAATTTAGTTGGCGCTAAATTGGGGATTTCCTTGAGAGCACAATGGGAGAATTATCCGGTGCGTTATGCTTTTCCCACTTACGAACATTCTGTGTGGGTTTTTTTTTTCGTTGTGATTTACCTTGTGCAAAAATAATTTCAAAGTAAAGTCTCATGAAAACGAGATTTGGGTTTGAACCAAAAATGTTTTGACAGAATTCATGGGAGCTGGAAGTTAGATCACTGTTCTCTTGATGCGTGTGAGCATCACTTTTAGTGAAAAATGCTGTCGTTTTTGAAAGTCACAGCATTTTTGGGTATTCAATATTTTTTAAATTCGTTACGGATGGTAATTCGAATGCACCTTTTTTGAGAAAGAAACGTGAACGGGAGGAAATGAATATTTTGTTTCAGCAGGCGAGTCATGTTGATGGACGGATGGCAATGAGTGGTGGTGGTGGTGGAGGTGGGCAGGATACCAGAAGAAGACCATCTCTGCTGCACCCCACTGGAGGTAGTCTGGACTATGGCCAACAATCCTCACCATCTGGCACACCTGTCAGCACTGCCAGCTTACCAGCAGGTGGGGGTTTTTTTCTTCTTCTACTGGTGAACTTTTTTTTATTCCTGGAGGGAGAAGAAAACAAATCTGTTTTTAACTTTTGATCTGGGTTGAGTGTACTGAACAGTATTTGGAGAGTTACGGTGGAACCTACCTATAACGTTGTTCCATCCATAAAAATAGAGTTGCTTTCAAGTTATTGATGTAAAATTCAGTTGAAACTAATCTCGTCATAACGAATTTTTCTTGGTCTCAGCAGTTTCTCGACGGGGACAGTGTTATTAAAATTTATTTGTAACGAACTGATTTTCCTCTAATCTTAGTACAGCACATTTTCGCATTGATTATGTGCACATGGACGATGTAAATATTTCCTACTTGGCACAAAATGGGAAACTACAACTTGTGCGTAATTGGAAAATCTTCAAAAAATGTTGGTGATAATATTTTTTCATGAGAAATTCAACATTGAAGTAAATTTTAAGATCTTAAGAGAAGTAAAAATTAATGTAGCTTTGATTCAGAATTTATAAGTTCATAAATACTGCTTCATTGTAGAGAACGGAAAGTTGATAAATAAATTACTTTTCTAACGCATGTATTTTCTGCTTGTTTCAGCTTATGCTTTAGAAAGGTCGGTATTTTCCGAAGAAAATTGAAGAAGTCAAGGTCAGAAATAAGATAATTTTCACGTTCAGAAAAAAGAACAGGTTTCAACAAAGAAAGAAGGCTATTTATTCGGTGATTGTACAGTGTGTTCATATTATTAATTTTTTTTTTTTTTTTTTTTTTTGATTCCAGACATGAAGTAAAAATAGTGCTTTTTAGACTCGTATCCGGCTGAGGAAACGAGTTTACCTAATCCTGAAGTAAAGGAATGGCATTTACGGGTTCATGAATTAGTTCAGTTGCGGTATTAGAAACCGGAATTCCATTCCATTTGAAGAGGACTGATCCAATAGTTCCGTCAGTTCCTTGAATGTTAGTTCGTTGGGTACCCGGGTTTCGGAGTCGGAATTCCACCGAAGATCCCAGACTGTGAGATTCAAATTCTGACGATTATTTTCCAAGAATCTTCCTCAAGTTGCATGTCTGACTGGTGGGAATTCTTTTAGCTCACAAATTGACATTCCGATGCACAAAAAAAAGTACGTCTTCTTTATTTAACGCTCCTGTAAAATTAACTTTGCTAAAAAGCTATTTAAAACTTCGAGCACCAAGAACTATCTAAAGTTTGACCAACTCATTAGAAGAAGGTACTCTTTAAATCCATTGCAGGAAATTTTAAGCTCTTGAGATAAATTAAAATTAAAATTCATCTAGCTTTAATTTAGAATTTGTAAATTTGAAAATACTGACGAGTAAAAATTTTGAAGGGTAGTCGTTAAATTATCATCTTCTTCCATGAGAAATTCACCATTGCAGGAAATTTTAAGCTCTTGAGATAAATTAAAATTAAAATTCATCTAGCTTTGATTTAGAATTTGTAAATTTAAAAATACTGCCGAGTAAAAATTTTGAAGAGTAGTCGTTAAATTATCAAAATCCGCCCAACGCTGGAATTCTTCGCTGTGAACATTTTTCACTTTCATCGTGAGCGGAAGAAGAGAAATAAGAAGAAAGCATTGAATGAGTCTTCATATTATTTTTTTCTTGCTCGAATAATTTCAGGTTACGTTGGCAACGCGGCGTCGACGGCGTATCGGAGCGGCGCTTCGGGCGGCGGCGCCGGTGGCGTCTCAGCCGCCGGGATACCCCAAAGAATGCTACCATTTCGCGGCCACGACCCGAGACACGAGTCCATGCGTGCTGCAAGGTGAGCCATAAAAAGTCGACGACGTTTTAGTTGGGGAGAGAAGAAGAAGAAGAAGAAAAAACTATGAGAGAAAGAATGAGAGCAAGTAAAAAAAAAATAAAGAAACCTGTCTGACAAACTCTGTTTATTTCTCTCTTTTTCTTTCTTCTTTTTTTTTTGCTTGAGTCGTGGGAGCAGGAAAAATACGGGGCACGTGATCCATCGTGAGAGGGATTCCGGGTCGGGGAAAAAATAAACCCGCGTTTGGGACAGGTTCTGAAACAAGTTGTGGGACCGACCAGATTCTTTCTTTCTTTTTTCTGGCTCTCGTTTGAAGAATGTATTTTTTTTCATGTCTTTTTTTTGGTTTATATTTCTATTTCTCCCTTGCAAGACCTTAGTGTCTGCCACACAAAAATAAAAATTTATATATGGAATACCAAAAGAGAGTTACTAACCCTAGATAGGTCAGAACTTCCAAAATAAAAAGACAACAGGGAAAAAGATACATGACAAGGAGCGAGTTGCGTTAATCAGCCAGTTTCGTATTATTGTCGCAGGTTTCTCTCTAATGAAGGGGGAGCTTAAGTTGGACTCGTTTGCGTGTCTCGGTAGTAGTTTTAAGAAGAATGCGTTTGAAGAGTTTGAAGGAAAGCTTTGGGAACGTCAGATTTTTCTAAATACGTGACACGTAATGGTAGGAGTTCGACGTAGGTACAGGAAAATTTATTTTTTATTCATGACAATTACAGCTGCGTATTTTTTTTAAGTACGTAGTTCTTCATTTCGGGTGGAAGTAAACTTTTCTGGTACTTCTGAACTCCTGTAATGCTTCAGGTACTTTTTTCGAGAATAGAACGAACGCTGCACGTTTTATTAATTCTCTCGAAATAAGGATATATTTTATTTTGAATAACGCTTTTGAAATTTAGTGAAATACGTTGGCTGATGAGAAACTTTTTTTCAACGTGATTTAATGTCAATATGTTTGAACTAACTGCGTTGCACACTTTTTGGCGGGATCTTTAGGGAATATTCCCAGTAAAATGATGGAATCATTAAGAGAAGGTTATCAGAAAACTTCGAGTACGATTTTTAAAAACGACATTGTTTTAGTAAATTTAAAATTGAAGGGGTCTACTCTTTTGTTTTCTTTTGCGAATGCCTGTATTTACTGTACAGTACTTCATCTCTCTCGTTCATTCGTGTTCC